GTAACTCGAACCCTACCGTGACATCTATACAAAAGATGCTGTTATCCATAATGAACGGTTTATTTACAATCAAATTGGCATACAAAATAATATGTAATATACAAATGGTACAAAATAAGAAGAATGCAGTTGGGGCTTGGTGTGGTGTGGTGATTGGCTGAAGTCCCTAATGGGTGTCAATTATCGGCCGGCGTAGCTAGTATCCGGATGGGTGACCACCTGGGTGTTTAGTGACGAATCCTAGCTCCACATACACACGTGTTACTCAAACACAACCATGACCCCTACAAAAAATGATCATTGTCATAGTGTCCGAAGATTTAGACAAAAAAAAAATCCAAATTGTTTATATTAATTATAGATTTAATAGAACCGCTAATAATTATGATTATTTTAGTAGTGTTAGTTATTGGCTGTTAAAAAGGTTAAAGTTTATCATCCAGATAATGCTCAAAGAATTTAAAAATAAAATTATTTCAATACTTTATTCAGTTGCTTCAAATCTAGACATCTTCCTAGAATTTTTGCAAAACAAATGAAGCTTAAATAATTAATAAAAATATGTTGCTTTAAGAAAGACGTTTCACCTGAATATCTGGTCTCCAATTGTTCAAATGCGTCTTACAAGTATGAAACCTATCAAATTTTAGTTAAGCAGTTATCATTCATCTTCGTTGATTCCAAATAATAATAAACATTCTAATATTAAAACTTTCATTGCTAAATTAGATTTGCTGATATTGATGAGCACTTGCAACACGGGGCCAACACATGCTTATAAAATTAATATTTTTAACTAACTAGTTACTTTTTAAATGTACATCCAATCATACTTTCAAGTTGATGCACATATAAAAGTCTTTATCGTCTTTCGCATATGTTGTATGCTTCAAGTTGTTTCAAGTTGTAATAATTAAACAAAAAAAGTTTAACTTGATAAGCGGACACAAAAAAAGAAAACCAAAGAAGGATCTTTTTATTCTAAGGGTCCCACTTAACCCTCTGTTAGTCGCGCGCCAAACGGGGGTGATTAAACTAGCACCCCCCATACTGCCCAACTCGCGCGACTATACTGTTAAGACAGAGGGTTAAATAAGTCATAAATAGGTTAGTACGCCTAAGGGCTATGGAGAGTTGAAGCTGTGGTGATGATAGTAGGCTAGTGGTAGTATACTATCATCCCTGGTCGAGTGCATCGCAATGATCTTTTCCTAATAACTACCAAGGTATTCGATATTGTATAAGCTTAACAGTAAAAGAAAATATTTAAATATTACTATGATAAATTAGAACCTAATTAAGTATCATAATTTGTATCCACAGTTTTAAAGCCAGTCGGCTGGCGTTGTACCAGTACTTATAATTAATAATAACTTAAATACAGCCAACACTAATTAGTGATTTGTCTATCACACAAAATTATACAAACTGATTTAAAAATTCTAATGTATCAAAAAATATAACAAAATCTTAATTAAAAAATAATGAGAGTTGACGGTATGAGGAGTTATTGTGAGGTTTTCAGAATTTATTTATTTGTTTGTTTTAATTTAAAATATAGTTTAGTGTATTAAAATAATATTGTCTTACAATTCCCAATATGTTTTCTTCTCACTTCTTTCCACATTGCACTAAATCTAATTTTTCCAACATTTTTACTAAGACCAAAACAAAAATAAAAAATATACAATTACATTTGAATTTTTGTATACTTTTTCAAAATGTATGCTAGTTACAGTTTAAAATACAATATTATTTTAATTCAAACATTAAACTATTTAAGTCAAAAATAGCTTTAACATAAAAGAGCACCTAGACCTCTTTCACTCTAATTTTTTGTATCCATAATAACTTTCATTCAATTAACACATTATTTTATTGTACTTAGGTAAAGTCGAATGAACTCTGATCATATTTTTTCACATTTTTTCATTTTTTTTTTTATTTTGATTCTTAAAATTCACTTGCCCGCTGCCGCCCATGGCCCCCTTCCCATTTTTATTTTTAAATTTAAAAGGCCATTTACTTTTTTTGTAATTTTTTTTATTTGACTTCTTAAACTCATTTGCCTGCAAGCTCCCATGCCTCCCTTCACAGTTTTTTCTTTAATTTAACTATAGTTCAATTATTTCAAATCCTTTTTTTTATTTTGATATTCAGTTAGTGCCTAATAAATATTCATTGTTTCATGATCTAATTAATGTAAATAAAGCTATGAGCTTAGGAATTGTGATATTGAAGACTGCAGTCTTTAATATTTATTTTTAATACTCATTTTTTCATTTTTTTTTTATTTTGATTCTTAAAATTAATTTGCCCTCGGGCGCCCATGCCTCCCTTCAAATTTTTTTTCCATAATTCAACTCTTGTTCAATTATTTCAAAACCATTTTTTAATTTTTGATGGTCCGTCTGTGCCTTATAAGTTATAAATATTCACCATTTCATTAGCTAATTATTGTAAATAAAACTATGACTTATGAGTTTAGGAATACTGATATTGTAGACTGCAGACTTTAATATTCATTTTTAATATACATTTTTAGATATATTTTTTTAATTTGATTCTTAAGATTCATTTGCCCGCGGGCGCCCATGCCCCCCTTCTCATTTTTATTTTAAAAATTGATTCTTTTTCATATTTTTTCATATTTTTTTTTTTTTTATTCTTAAAACTCATTCGCCTGCGGGCGCCCAAGCTCCCCTTCTCATTTTTATTTTTAAAATTGATTCTATTTTATTTTTTTTCATATTTTTTTTTTTTGATTTTTAAAACTCGTTCGCCTGCGGGCGCCCTTGCCCCCTTCAATTTTTTTTTCTATAATTTGACTCTAGTTCAATTATTTAAAAACATGTTTTTGAATTTTGACAGATAGTTAGTGCCTTATAAATATTCATTGTTTCATGATCGAATTATTGTAAATGAAACTATAAGTTTAGGAATACTGATGTTGTCGACTGCAGTCTTTAATATTTGTTTTAAAAGTACATTTTTTCATACATTTTTTATATTCATTTTTTTAATTTGATTCTTAAAATTCATTTGGCCGCGGGCGCCCATGCCCCCCTTCCCATTTTTATTTTTAAATTTAAATTCTATCAAATTTTTTATAATTATTTTTATTTTGATTCTTTCAATTAATTTGCCTGCGGGCGCCCATGATCCCCTTCCCATTTTTTTTCTATAATTTAACTCTAGTTCACTTTTGTAAATTTTGATAACAAGTTAGTACTTTATAAAAATCCATTGTTTTATTATCTAATTATTGAAAATAAAGCTATAAGTTTAGGAATACTGATTTTGTAGACTTTTGCAGTCTTTAATATTTGTTTTTAATGTACATTCAATAAACGCATTATTTTATTGTACTGTGGTAATTTAACAGAACTCTGATCATATTTTTTCACATTTTTTCATAATAAATCATAAAATAGCATAAAGCTATTAGTTTAGGTTAGTATTCTTAGATACTGATTTTGCAGACTGCAGTCTCTAATATTTGTTTTAAAAGTACATTTTTTCATACATTTTTTATATTCATTTTTTTATTTTGATTCTTACAATTTATTTGCCTGCGGGCGCCCATAATCCCCTTCAAATTTTTTTTCAAATATTTAACTCTACTTCAATTTTTTAAAACCATTTTTTAAATTTTGATAACAAGTTAGGCCTTCATAAAAATTCATTGTTTCATTATCTCATTATTGAAAATAAAGCTATGAGTTTAGGAATACTGATATTGTAGACTGTCTTTAATATTTGTTTTTAATGTAAATTTTTTCATAAATATTTTAATTTGATTCTATAAATTCATTTGCCGCGGGCGCCTAAGCCCCCCTTCCAATTTTTATTTTTAAATTTAAATCCCATCACTTTTTTTTATAATTTTTTTTATTTTGATTCTTACAATTCATTTGCCTGCGGGCGCCCATGAACCCCTTCCCATTTTTATTTTTAAATTTATATTCTATCATATTTATATAAATTTTTTTATTTTTTAAAGAATTCTGCAGTTCGATGTGATACTTATCATCTTTTGAATTTCTACTGCTCGAAAGACTTTATGTGCAAATCCTAATTTAAAGTAAGTAAAAAAATGCTTCAAATAAGTTTTTTAAGTTGCTTAAACATATTTTGAACTAATATATTATAGTTAAAATATTTAGTTTGTACTGTTGTTATAGATATTTATATTTTTGTCACAAATTATTACTTAAAAATAAAAACAATGAATAAAATAAATGTTTTCAATGCAAAATTACGTATTTCATTATACTTGTAGGTATAGTGTAGGTATAATGTATAATATATAATATATAATGTATAATTACCTTTATATTGTAGACAATTTATCAAAAATTAATAATATTTGGTATAATTTTGATATAATTATCCAGTGACTGCTTGACAATGGCTAATGAAAATAGCGCACGTTCTATTTCAGTAAAAAATATTAGTCATGACTGAAGACAAAAATGTTTTTTTTGTTTACGCTTTATCAGTGTGCGTGTTTTCCATAAAATATAAATGTTTTATTTTTGATTAGTCATAACTCATAATAAAGCGACTTTAGTCGCTTTAAAGCAGTTTTGCTTTACCGATGTGCGGTCACCCTTAAGCAATTTTTCATACAATTTAAAAATATTAAGAATACAAAGGTTTTATTTTTCTTATAACAGACAGAATTATCCTGCTATTCACGAAATTTGGTCGTAAGGATATATTATATTGTGTTCATGGAATCTAGGACATTTCCCCATATGCTTCTTCCTATCCGTTTATTATTTAAATTTACACAAATGTATGTTAAACAGAACCAAGTAACCAACCCCCTGACTTTAATTATTAGATTGAATTCACCTATCTGCTATCATCACATTTTAAGTTAAGAACATTACCTGCCATTATTTATTTACCTGTGTTCCTATGTTGGCTATTTTATATTTTAATTTTTATGTAAGTTATAAGCGTTTAAATAATTAAAATTGTATAAAAATTAAAATATAGTAAAAAAGCTAACATGGAGACACGTAACGTTGTTAGCTTAAACTTTAATAATTGGTGAATATTGAACTCAATATATTATTACAATTTACAAGTAACAACACAGAGTTGGTTTTGACGAATATACATTTGCCATACTCCTTGTGGGTCAGAGAAATAAAACAAATGGTGAGCTGACAATTGACATCCTTTCAATAATATATATATATTGATTTAGTGAGAAACTTTGGGTGTCATCAAAAACCTTAGGCACAGCCGGAAAACGTCCAAATGGCAATTACCTACCATTATAATATTATTTATGGTACTACTACAGTAGTTGTACTTCGGCACTTCTTGCATAACTGTATATCTGCTGCAGTTGTACCTACAAGTGTACTAGATATCGATCACGATTAATTAGCCTTTCACTTTGTATATTAAATAGTTAAAAATGTATACATTGAATGTTGAGAATTAAAAAATTCTTATATCATGATATCAAATATGGATTATCGTTGATTATAGAATTTTCTTCTTCGCAATCTTGATTTTATCAGTGTAGTCAAATACTCAAATATTTTAAAATTATAATTTTTAAGTATTTCGTGCGGTACAGAATGTTTTTGTTATCATTACTCTTTGTTATCTATTATACAAATATACAATAACCATAACTGTATTACATTGGACGTTTACGATTTACATTTGCGGATCCGGTGTTTGGGTTAATTTAATATTTTAATTAGTAATTACTGTAAATCTACTCTAGTAAGAGAATAATTATTGCATATTTGCATATCTGCATAAGTAATTCAATCATAAGTAACATATAAATTCAAACGATACTACTCGACAGTCATCACTACGCAATTTTTTTGGTATACTTTTTAATAATAATCATAATATGATCTGTGATCTCATTACTCATACAAGTTAAAGTTAATGTTCTTATTCACTATTATTATTATTGGATACTGTTGTGTAGATTAGACTCTAACCTATACATTTATAATTATATAATATCATCTGAATTTAAAAACATAATGACTGTAATTGTTTTATTATAGTTAGTAATGAATTATTTTCCCAAAAGTTTATTAGAAATGAACGGGTACAAATTTTTTTTATTTGGTTGCTTGTTTACATCTCTTACTTGGTCTCTAAGTTTGTATATGTATTGGAAACTTAATACCAGGCCTGATAATTACTCACATGTAAAACTCTTTCGAAAAGAGAATACTTTTGAGTATGTGAAAAAACAGAAATCTAAATACTTTAATAATCATATGGATAAAAATGGTTAGTGTACACGCATGTTACTTATTTAATACTTATCTTATTTACAATTATTTATCTAATTCTTTTATTGACAACATTTTTGTGTAGATCTTAATGATTTAGGAATCATTAAAACTGATGACGATATGGCTACCAGGGATAAAGGATACAAAGATCATGGTTTCAATGCTTTGGTTAGTTTGAGACTAGGTAATTATCGTGAGACATTACCTGACACTAGGCATCAATTGTAAGTTAAAGTTGAGTTTGAAAAAGTATAAAATGCAATTTATACATAATAAATAATTATATTTTTTGTATTTTTTTTTACAGATGTTCAACGATAAAGTATGATCAAAACTTACCCAGTGCTAGTATTATAATTTGTTTTTATAATGAACACCCACAAGCTCTTTTTAGAACTATACAGTCAGTCATTAGACGTACACCAAAAAACCTTTTACATGAAGTCATACTAATTAACGATTTTAGTGATTCAGGTTAGTAAAATCCAAAAGTAATTTTCTTTGGTTTTTGTTTTGTATAATCATAATTAATTTCCTTTTTGTTATAGAAAATCTTCACCAAGTAGTAGACCAATACATACATGATGAAATATTACAGGGTATAGTCCATCTTAAAAAAACCAATAAAAGAGAAGGACTTATACGTGCAAGATTATTTGGAGCTAATTTAGCAACTGGTCAAGTAATTAAAGGACTACATATTTATTTTATAATTATTATTCAATACATTTATGTAGACAAATATTTATTAGTGTAAGGTATTTGGTCTACAATAATAGATGAAATAATTAAATGTTTAAAAAGTATAAGAATATGTTGTGTAACATTTATACAATAAGTCACACCAACTCCCATAAGTATATAATATAAACTTCAATTAGCTACAATGTGTTGCAATCAGTATTATGCGTATTAAATCGATACCGAGCGCATCGTTCCTCTAACCACCTGCACTTAATTCATTTAGTCTTAGTTTGATCAATAATTTATATTCACAATTTTAAAATCAGTATATAAAACAATTGATGTCATGAAATTAAAAATAAAATAAGTCTGTCTTGTGTAATAGTTATAAACTGCTTTTTATCGTAAAACCTTGTATGTGTATTTTTTCTAAACTATCACAAACTAATTGTGATGTATTAATTTTCTTCTTTGCTTAACTAATTTTTAAAATTTGTTAATTTCTTTCATTTTAACAGGTTTTAATATTTCTTGACAGTCATGTTGAAGTAAATACTGATTGGATTCAACCACTATTGACAAGAGTTCGTAATAATCGCACACAAATTATTGCGCCTATTATTGATATTATTCAACCAGATACATTTGATTATAAATCATCTCCATTAGTGAGAGGTGGTTTTAATTGGGGATTACATTTTAAATGGGATAGTTTACCAAAAGGTACCCTAGTTACAGATAAAGATTTTGTGAAACCAATCAAGTAATGTATTATTTACTATACAATATACAATTAATTTTCTTTTATAATCCATATTTATTTTAATTGTAGGACACCTACTATTGCTGGAGGACTATTTGCTGTTGATAGAGAGTACTTCAATGAAATTGGTCAATATGATTCTGGAATGAATATTTGGGGTGGAGAAAATTTGGAGTTATCATTTCGAGTAAGAAATAAATGATACCATGTCTATTCTAAATGATTTATAATGCATGAGTAAGTTATTTATCTTAGACATTTGAGTTAACCTATTTATAACATGACATTTATTTAGAATCACTTTAAATATACATTGTTTTTATTTTTCATTTTTAGGTATGGATGTGTGGAGGTTCTCTTTACATTGAACCATGTTCACGCGTTGGACATGTATTCCGTCAGCATCGACCATATTCAGCTCCAAATCATGAAGACACAATGGCTAGAAATTCTTTGCGCCTAGCAAATGTGTGGATGGATGATTTTAAAGTGAGTTCTTAATTCTTGGTAGTGGTCTAATATGATATCTATTTTTGTAAAAAGTATTATAAGTATGATCTAATAACTTTATTTATTCTATTTTGGCGGCTGGAGCCTCCTTTTTTTAGGATGTCATTAATTTTTTATTTGCTTAGCGTGTTCCTAGTCTTTATAGGGAGTAGGGACCCCGTGAAATATTTATGGAAGTATGGAAAAATTAAACCGTACATTATTTTTAGGCTAAATTTTTTGTTACATGGTCCAGGACTTTAGTATTTTTTTTTTGGGGCCCCTTAAAAAAACTGATCCATGGGCCTTTAGTGTTCCAGACCGAGACTAAACATGGCCTAAGTATTAACTGTGCATGTGTGTAGATATGTGAGTGTACATATAAATGTATAATTGTGACAATAAACTCAAAACTCAATAACCAAATATAGGTATCGGTATATCCCACAGTAAAGATATAAGATACACTTAACAGTTATATTAAACCAAAATTCAGGTCACATATATTTTTATATATTATATATAAGTCAAAATATATCACTAACTTGTACATTCACTCATTCATCGCATATTTCAAAACTACAAAAACAAAATGTGTGAACTTAAATTTTGAATAATGTTTCCACTAATGATCAGATGTGTAAGAAGAAAGGATTTTCCAATGTTCGTATTTTAAAGTGGTGGTCAAACAGGAATCTTGAAATTCATGGAGGAAATTGAAACTTTTTTTGTTGTTTAAAATGGTGGCCATTGGTTGCAGGTTATATTATATAGTAATGGTAGAAATTAGTATTACATTTTTTTTTTATAAAGGATTGCCATTGGTTACTTGGATAGATCAGGTATAAGCATGCATCTTGCAAATTGTCATGCTTATGGACTGGAATAAAGAAACTATATCTTATAAAGAAACCAAATGTATGTGTGTAGCTTATAAACACTAAAACTACTCAATTGAATTTGACAAAAATCTCAGTGGTTTTTTTTTTAGAGATATCAGAAAAGTTTAGAGAGTATAGTGGGTAGTAAATTAAAATAGATAAGTAGTTAAAAATATACAAAGTATTAAATCCAATTTGCGCTTGCAATTGCCCATCTAGGTTAAATTATTTCACAAAGCTTGGTATACTGACTCTGATTTGTCTGTGAACTAAGTTATTACTAAAACTGAGATACACTCAAACCGTGATACGCCTATATAACAAATAATATACAATATAAGATTGGCCAAAAAAACCGTATCCTGGCAAAGTCAGGATGTTCAGCTAGTTATATAATTATTATCATAGATGTATAAATTATTTATATGACTATGATCACAATGTAGATCTCTTGTTTTTGTACATGAAATTTTGTACCGCTTTCATATTTACTATACTTTTCTTTTAATGATTTAATAAAATTCTATTTTACAGAAATTCTTCATTAGTAAACGAATGGATTTATTGCGTATAGACTATGGTGATGTGTCTGAAAGAAAAGCTTTACGTACTAAATTGGGATGCAACAATTTTGAATGGTACTTAGAAAATGTCTATCCTGAAATGTTATTACCAACTGATGAAGCTGATCGCCTTAATAAAAAGTTAGAAAATGTTGACAAACCCATTTTTCAACCATGGAATAAACGAATTCGTAACTACACTGCAAAATTTTTAGTAAATATTTTTTTTTTTTGTTATATGAATGCATAATTATTAATTATTGTTCTGTTGATCTTAGATTAACTTAAGCAATACAAATTTGTGCATTCATCCAATAAAAGGACACCAAACCAAAAATAGTAGACTAGTTCTTAGATCTTGTATTCGCAACAAAGAACAGGTAGGTATTTTGATTTACATAAAACTACTGATTTTTAAAATTTTGAAATTATTTTAGATATGGTATGAAACGGATAAAGAAGAATTAGTCTTATCAAAACTCTTATGTTTGGATAGTGCTTCAGGCAATCCAATTATAGGAAAGTGCAGTGAAACTGGAAGTTCTCAACGTTGGAAACACACTGATGATGTATATTTATTATTTATCATATTTAATATATTTTTTTTTAAATTTAAATCTGAATTTTTCAAAGATAGGTGTAATATTTTGATTTAATGACTAAATTACATGTGCATGTGTGTGCGTAATATGTATGACGCGGGTAATTGGTGTGGAGTATTTGAGTATACATACACAAAGACGAGTTGTGAGCCCGTGACCAGAAGGAGCAAAAGAATTGCCTAAATACAACTTCTTAAAAATGACACTTTTACAGGGAGCCCTAAAATTTAAAAACAAAATTCTTTGAAACTAAACTCTGGTGAAAGTTATCATGTCTTGGCAAAAAAAATAGTCATTTTAGCGGCTACATTGACTTTAACATAGAAGACTTCAAACACAAAATAGTACCATTTCTTCTTGGGACAATATACAAACAATTTATAGACCTAGTCATTTGTATACACAAAATGTGATAGCATAATTATTATTGATCAAAGAATGAATCCATTACATCTAAATGTTTATTGATTACTGTGTATTAAATTCTTATTTTGTTGACCATAATAGTATAATAATTTATTTCAATAAAAAAAAATTTGTTTAAATCATTTTATAGATAAATAATTACTTTGGAACTATAGTATATATATCCAATATATTTGCCTAAAGAATTAAGGCACTTCAAACTAGTTTCTTCAACATTTTTTTAAACAATTTTTATCACTTATTAGTTATGCTCTATTTTTTATTTTTATAAAATTTACTAACACGTAATAAGTGTTTTAGGAAACTAATAAGTTCAATATGTAAACATTCAAGTTTCAATTTTTATTTTAAAATGTGCCCATATTTAAAAGACATTTGAAAAAGTGTACACAGAAAAACAACATTGTAAAACTAATTTATTTCTGAATTATTTTTTTTTTTGGTTTGAAATTTAAAATTATAATCACTATTTCTTAAAAATTTCATAATTTAATGTTTTTGAAAATATTGTTTTATTTTTGTTTTTTATAGAAGGGAACTGCATTTTATAACTTAGCAGCTGGAACGTGTCTAAGTGTGAACGAGAAAAGGATAAATGCAGAAGTTGTAATGAATATTTGCAATAACGAAAGCTCATACAACAAATGGAATTTAGTTATTGTTTAATTTACAATACTTTAAAAATGTTATGGGATGTGTTTTATTGATGTAATTAACTTGAACAGTATTATCTTATCAAATAACTTGTATCGATCTATAGCCATAAAAACAAATTTTGTAAAGTATAATAAAGTAAAATATATTAAATATCTATATTTATATTATATACAATTTAAAGTAATACTATTTATTGATAAATCGTTGGAAAAAATAAAAATGTGCTACTATATATTTCGAGTATTTAACCTTAATTTAAGCATATGACACTGATCATAGCAGGTATTCTATTTCATAAATAAAAATAATAAGGAATACGTGATAATGTTTTACAATTATTCTAATAATACTTAAAATCAAAATAGAAAATAAGGCTTCAAAATATATTGATTCATTAGTTTTCTGTGTCTAGTAATTTGATTTGCAGATGATACAAATATGTGATTTTCAGTTGACTCTTGTGAGGTGGTATTTGATTCTCATAAAAATTATCCGCTAAATAATTTACAAAAAAAAAGTGGAGTTCCCATTTGAAAAACAAAAGTTTGTATCGCCACAGGACACTCCTAAGTGGTAAAAAGTTTTAGGAATATGAAAATATGGTCTTTGAGTATATTTAAAGATACAAAAAATTAAATTTTGAAAAACTTCGTAATTAAAGAAAAAAAGGGGTTTGTACATACTTGTTGGATCTCCCTGTATATTAATTTAACCATTTGTGTATTCATTGATTTTCATTTTATATCGTGTTTAATATTTTTACTTTTAATTTTTAGCATGTTCAGGAAAAAGTTCATTGGAGGGGGTGGGTGGAGGAGGAGTAACTTCTCTACAGCAGTTCAGTAGGGTTTATTTTAAAAATAATGAATACATAAACACCCAACAATTAAAATTCCTGTCTACGCTCAGATGTATCCAAATGAAATTCGAACGAGTGGTTTAAATAATAAACAGATAGGAAGAAGCATATGAGGAAATGTCCTAGATTCCATGAACACAATATAATATATCCTTACGACCAAATTTCGTGAATAGCAGGATAATTCTGTCTGTTATCAGAAAAATAAAACCTTTGTATTCTTAATATTTTTAAATTGTATGAAAAGTTGCTTAAGAGTAATTTTGTTTAAATTTTCAATCCTTAGCTATAAAAATTGAAAATTTTATAATATTATAACTACAAAATCATTTTCATCATTTATCAATTTTCAATTTGATAAATATTGTCAACATTTGAACTTAAAATACTTATAAAAAAAAATCATGCCAATGCATTTTTAATATTTTTCAACTTTTATTGTAGCAATATATCAAGTCTTGTTTTAGATTTTCATGCTTTTTGACCCAATCAATTAAATTTTATTGACATTGATAGAAAAAAATTGAAAAAAATGAAAACGATACAGTCTCCAAGAGAAATCAAGTGAATAACCAATGTTGTAAAAATTCAAAATTTAAACGCTCTTAAAAAATTATTATGGATTTACGCTCAACTTATTTTTTTTAACTTCCATTAACAAGAATTTACGAGAAATCTTGAATTACATTTACAAGTTTTTTGATGAAGAAAACAATTTTTTATTGACCTTAATTTAAAAAAAATCAATAATGAAATAAATAATAAATAATAATTGGAAATTGCATATACCTATAAACAGTTCTACACAAGTTAAAATATTTTAAAAATTGTATGGTGTCAACCAAATGCTAACACAAACATTCAGTGAAAATTGGGTGTATCTACTGTAAGAATTACACGAAAAACCAAAATCTATTTTTTCAAAAACTGGTTTTGTATAAAAATTCCTGTTTTCCCTTAATTTTTTATTAATACCTTACTACACCCATGTAAAACTTCATACACCTAGTGGCTAGCTACATATCTACTAATGTAAAAACAAAAACAGTTGAGTTTAAATAAGCAGTAAGAAAACTCAGTGTAAATAACGAGAAAGACGGAAAAAATTCACGAATGTTCTGTTACAGTATCAACACCATTACCGTATTATATATATGTATACAGCAGTGAAAAGTAAAATGTTTGCTACAACTAGTAGCGGTGAAGTAGGGGGACGGCGAGGCGGCCAGGCAGTAAGCGTATCGAACATTCTCGAAAGTTCGGTTGGGTACTTGGGTATATAATAGCGGTTTCAAAAATTAAAACAATAAGGAATACCCGAATACGTGACAATGTTTTACTATTCTAATCGTACTTAAAATCAAGATATAAAATTAGGCTTCAAGATATATTAATTCATTAGTTTTCTGTGTCTAGTAATTTGGTTTGCAGGTAATACGATCTTGTGATTTTCAGTTGACTCTTGTGAGGTGGTATTTCATCTATATTATAAAAGAAAATTTAAAATAAATAATGCAAATGAGGAACAATTTAGGCATAGCATATATTTGTATGGAATGTGTACTTAACCTTATTAAACAATAATGTGTAGTACTAATATAGTGCACTGACAACCTCTAAAGGACTATTCTTTTTAATAACTAAAACGTATAGGTTGAGCAAATAATATATTAGAAGGGTGGAATAATACATTTACAACACTATGGTCCGTATCGAATATCCAAATTCTATATATTATATAATTATTCAATGATATCTGAGGCTCTATAGATAAGCAACACAAGTTTACTTATTAAAAATTTGAATTATAGACCAGGAAANTTATTGTGTTTTTGTATTAATTAAATAAAAAGTATTCAAATTATAAAGAAAAAAACAAACTCTTGTTCATTTATTCTCAACACCATCAAACGAGCGTAGTCAGATTGTTACAGATATAATATAATATGTTGTTATCAGTTTTCGAGTTTTTGAATTCTTTGGATGACACGATACATATTTTATTTCAGATTCCGAAACATAATATTATTCGGAGTGTTTAAATCTAAACAATTCAGAACACGGAACTCTGCGTATAGGCCATTTAGATACACTACTGTCGCGAGTCCATTTTTTTGTCCGGAATCTCACAATATTGTTTTTAATCTATAACTTAATATAAAACTCTAGAAGTGTCAAGACATGAAAAAAATTCAAAATTAGGCTTATAAATTTACAGAAGTAATAATTAAAATCATCATTCAGCAATCTCAATGATATGGAGTTTATAGTTTGAAAGAATACAGTGAAGTAAAAAAGCTAAAATACACAGAACTAAACTGTTTGGGATTTTTAAATGTAACGAGAATTCTCGTAAATCATTTATTTATTGAAACAGATTAAATTACTGAATATCAAGAGTATTCATTGGCTGACTTGCAGTGTAGTCTGACAATTAACAATAACAGGTATTGTATAAAATTATTTCAAAATAATATATTATTTAATTAATTGTTTTAAATAATTTTTAGATATATATTATCTGGAGCCGTTTTTTATGGACATGATCATTATATAGAGTATGTAAGCCGTGTAAATAGATGGGAAGTGGGCAAAGATTTGTCAAAATAAATTAAAAGTACCCTTAGTTCAACAAAAATAAAACCACATGTAATTTTATATGTGAAAGAGTAAAATAAAAGACATGTACATTGGTACAAAAGTCAACTATAGCAATAAGAGATGTCTTTTTTTAATTAAACAAAAAGACAAAAGGGTTATATTCTATTATTTTTAAATGTATATTAAGCGTTTGTTACAAGATAAATAAAAGTAATAAGAATCAATAATTAATTAAATCAATTTTATTTTTTTTAATTTTCCCTTTACCCATAAATGGCCATAATTCTATTATAGTGACATGATTCCAGGATCCGGCACAAAAATGAGAAAAAGTCGGCAGAGGATTGAAACAGTCTGGTAGCGAAAAATGTTTTTGATGTAACGACCTGACGTTTTGTAATAAATGACGAGAACCATGAACCACGATTTCTAACTTTATTAATTAAAAATTAATAAAGTAAATTTAAAATGAAGACGATTTGAAGATCTGAAAAACATAATCTATTTTATTAGCAAAACAAAATAAAAATTGTTATTAATTAATGTGAGCTCTTATTTGATGACCATGAGCTTATAATATTCAATAACCCATGTTATGTTCCTACAAATATAGAGTAAAAAGAATTAATAAATACATTTAAAAAAATAAATTATTAATTTACGTTTATTGTAATATTACCATGCATTAAGACTATAAGGGTAAGAAACAATTATTCCATATTGAACTTATATTAAATAGTAGCCAGATATATTCTGTAAAATACTTCTGTAAGCAGTATATTTCAATTGTGTATTACATAATATAATTTTAAATTATACTATAAACTATACCTACGTATAAACACCAATGATTGGTATGATTTTTGGACTCAAAATTATTAATAAGTTAGCGGCTATTTGCAAAATGTTAGCAGCATATATCAATTCGTAGCTCAAAAGGGGGTGTAGCGTGAAGTCGCCCCCTATCTTATATTTTTCATACCGTGTGGGTAATTTATTTGCAAATTATTTGTAAAATGATAACAGAGCTTAATCTATTTAATAATCTCTTCATATGGCCGTCGATGAACTTTTCTGTAACTATTTCGTATTACATAGTTGCAGAATTATTTATACTGCATCAAACCCAGAAAAATGTATGATATCTTAGTTATTTATTAACAAGATTATGAAATTAAAATGTACCAATATGTTATTGATATTGTAGAAAAAAAAGAGAATTATTACCGTTAGGTTAGGGTACCGCTCTGCTGTTAAGTAGTTGTCAAGCATGTCGTTTTAATGGATATGTTATAATTTAATTCAATGATAAATCATTGTATAAGATAAACGAAATTTTTTTTTTTTTAAACACATCATTGTAAAATCAATACATTATTTCGCTATGCTCCGCTCAGAATCTAATATCTAATTATTTAGAATTTTTATTAACTTACCTCAATGTCATCAATAATTTCTCTTCTGGAGTGATACTTTTTCTGAAATTATTATCAGGTTTTCGAATTTCATAGGTTAAGTATTTCTAGAATATAATCAAACGTGTAGGTACTCATTCGTGTAAGATTTCTAAATTTACATTCGTCATTTCGAAGTTCATGAATAAAACATTTAATTGTATTATTTTCAGTTCGTTTCAAGTTCAAAGGATGAACCCAAAGTTTTTTTTTATTTTCTTCCTATTCAATTTCTCTTAAAAGAAACCATAAAATAGGAATAGTAACTTCCTCCTAGTCGGACGACATTTTGACGACTACTTGATACATTTTTATTTGACTAACTATGTTTTATCTAGTGAGCGACAACAATGCTTTATTATGAATAAATCTAAATGACTAAATATGACTTACATTTCTTCAGTCAATTTTGCTTTACCAGTGTGCGGTCACGCTAAGTAATATTGTTTAAATTTTCAATCCTTAGCTATAAAAATTGAAAATTTTATAATATTATAACTACAAAATCATTTTCATCATTTATCAATTTTCAATTTGATAAATATTGTCAACATTTGAACTTAAAATACTTATAAAAAAAAATCATGCCAATGCATTTTTAATATTTTTCAATTTTTATTGTAGCTACATATCAAGTCTTGTTTTAGATTTTCATGCTTTTTGACCCAATCAATTAAATTTTATTGACATTGATAGAAAAAAATTGAAAAAATGAAAATTGAAAATGTCCTTGAACAACTGAAAACTAGTCAAAACATTTTGAAAATTTTACCCAGTATATAAATTGATGAATAAACATATGGTGTAAATCTTCAAGAGTCTACAGTAATTCATTTTTGTATAACAATAAACTAAGAAAATCGATACAGTCTCCAAGAGAAATCAAGTGAATAACCAATGTTGTAAAAATTCAAAATTTAAACGCTCTTAAAAAATTATTATGGATTTACGCTCAACTTTTTTTTTTAACTTCCATTAACAAGAATATACGAGAAATCTTGAATTACATTTACAAGTTTTTTGATGAAGAAAACAATTTTTTATCGACCTTAATTTAAAAAAAACCAATAATGAAATAAATAATAAATAATAATTGGCAATTGCATATACCTATAAACAGTTCTACACGAGTTAAAATATTTTAAAAATTGTATGGTGTCAACCAAATGCTAACACAAACATTCAGTGAAAATTGGATGTATCTACGGTAAGAATTACACGAAAAACCAAAATCTATTTTTTCAAAAACTGGTTTTGTATAAAAATTCCTGTTTTCCCTTAATTTTTTATTAATACCTTACTACACCCATGTAAAACTTCATACACCTAGCTACATATCTACTAATGTAAAAACAAAAACAGTTGAGTTTAAATAAGCAGTAAGAAAACTCAGTGTAAATAACGAGAAAGACGGAAAAAATTCACGAATGTTCTGTTACAGTATCAACACCATTACCGTATTATATATATGTATACAGCAGTGAAAAGTAAAATGTTTGCTACAACTAGTAGCGGTGAAGTAGGGGGACGGCGAGGCGGCCAGGCAGTAAGCGTATCGAACATTCTCGAAAGTTCGGTTGGGTACTTGGGTATATAATAGCGGTTTCAAAAATTAAAACAATAAGGAATACCCGAATACGTGACAATGTTTTACTATTCTAATCGTACTTAAAATCAAGATATAAAATTAGGCTTCAAGATATATTAATTCATTAGTTTTCTGTGTCTAGTAATTTGGTTTGCAGGTAATACGATCATGTGATTTTCAGTTGACTCTTGTGAGGTGGTATTTCATCTATATTATAAAAGAAAATTTAAAATAAATAATGCAAATGAGGAACAATTTAGGCATAGCATATATTTGTATGGAATGTGTACTTAACCTTATTAAACAATAATGTGTAGTACTAATATAGTGCACTGACAACCTCTAAAGGACTATTCTTTTTAATAACTAAAACGTATAGGTTGAGCAAATAATATATTAGAAGGGTGGAATAATACATTTACAACTCTATGGTCCGTATCGAATATCCAAATTCTATATATTATTTAATTATTCAATGATATCTGAGGCTCTATAGATAAGCAACACAAGTTTACTTATTAAAAATTTGAATTATAGACCAGGAAATATCCATAATAATTTTTAAAATGAAGATTTGTTAAATAAATGATGTAAAGATGTAAATGTTATTCAGATGAGGATATTTTGAAATTTGTAAGTTCTGAGAGCAATTTTCCAAAAAAAAAATATCATCAGCTATATTTTTTATTTTTTATTATTGAATATTGAGGTACCTGTATGGCGAAATTGGTGAATTTTGTAATTGTATTATTATGACCTTCAAATTTAAATTATATTTATATAAACAGGGTGATCCAACAAATATGCTCACATCCCTTTTTTTCATTAATAATGAAGTTTTTCAAAATCTGATTTTTGGAATCTTTAAATATACTCAACGAACATGTTATCATCTTCTTGAGATTTTTTGTGCCACTTAAGGAGTGTCCTGTGGCGATACGAACCTCTGTTTTTCAAATGTGAACCCCAAATTTTTTTCTTTAAATTATTTAGCATATAAATTTTTTGAGAAATTTGATTCGAACTAATGGTTTCCCAGTTATTAGACAATTTGTACTAAGGATAATAATTCATACCGTTCATACAGTTCTACGCATGGAATAAGAACTAAATAAATCATGACGGTTTTACTTGCAATTTACCAAAGTGTTTGACTAAATAAACATAAAATGACGTATTAATTTATATTATATACGTATAGACTATAGATAACAACGTACACTATGTAAGCATATCCTTCTTCCCAATTATAAACTATATTATCCTTAGCACAAAGTGTGTAATAACTAGAAAACTACTCGTTGGAATTTTGATTTCAATAGGTCATCAAAATTCTCAAAAAAATTATCCGCTAAATAATTTACAGTAAAACAGTGGGGTAAAAAATCCTATCTACGCCCAGGTTTTCCAGCTATTATACCTACTCACGATCAAAAATGTTATGAACTTATATAAACATATCACACTGAAATCTCAAATAAACTGAACTAATAAGCAATTTCGAATAGGTACATTTTTTTTCCAGTTTTTAACCGACGACGTCGAGGGAACTGCTAGGTACCTACCTAGCTATAATAATAGCTGCCAAGGTACAAATAATTGAAAAATTATACCATGTCTCGTAAAAACGAATAATATGGTTATTTGTTGGAGTTTTCAAATATTTAGAGTTATACATTATGCAATTGTAAATTTTTTTGAAAAAAAAAACAAAATCAATTTTGTCGAAAACTTTTGTTTTTTTTCATGGAGTAACAATAAACAGGGTTTTACATAGACGCGAAATTAAAATATTTAAAATTTAAAAATAACACACATCATTGTAAAATCATTCTGTTTAGGATCTATTCTGTAATTGAAAAGATTAACTTTGTTTGATATCGTAAACCTAATACCTTACTACACATATATTATGAAACTTCCTACACATAGGTACATATCTACTTAGGTATGTACAAAAACAAATCAGTTTGAATAAGCAGTAAGCAAAGTCGGTGTAAATAACGAGAAAGACGGAGAAAATTCACGAATGTTCTAGTACAGTATCAACACCATTACCGTATTATATATATGTTTACACCTATAGGTACTATAGTAGTGAAAAGTAAAAAGTGTGCTACAGCTGGTAGCGGTGAAGTAGGGGGACGGCCAGGCGGCCAGAACAGCGCTCGCGAATCGTCTCGAACCTTCTCGAACGTTCGGTGGGGTATATAAGCGTTGGCTGCGCGCTGACCGGCATCAGTTTTGAATTTGAATTCGAAGAATAAACGCGCGGTTACAGTGCTATTCGTCGAGCGAGACACACATAATATTACGTGCTATTTTACGCGACTTTCAGTGTTGTACACGAATTTTCCATTGCGGTTTTAAACACAGTGATTTTAAATCGTTATCGAATATTGTGGTGCGCTTAAGTACCTATAATAGATATTTATTTTTTCGTATTTATTGTGCGTGAACAAAATCTACAATTATTGGCGAAATGGTTGGAAGAACAGCGATCGGTATCGACCTGGGTACCACCTATTCCTGTGTGGGTATCTGGCAACACGGAAAAGTAGAGATCATCGCCAACGATCAAGGTAACAGGACCACCCCGAGTTATGTGGCATTCACCGACACCGAACGGTTGATCGGCGACGGGGCTAAGAACCAGGTGGCAATGAATCCCGTCAATACGGTATTCGACGCCAAACGTTTGATCGGCCGTCGTTTCGACGACGACAAGACGCAAGCGGACATCAAACACTGGCCGTTCAAAGTGGTGGACCACTGTGGAAAGCCTAAAATCCAAGTTGAATTCAAAGGTGAGCGGAAAGTGTTTGCGCCGGAAGAAATCAGTTCGATGGTTCTGACGAAAATGAAGGAGACTGCGGAAGCGTATTTGGGCCGCGACGTGACGGACGCTGTCATCACGGTGCCGGCTTACTTCAACGATTCGCAGAGACAAGCGACCAAGGACGCGGGGGTCATTGCCGGCCTGAACGTAATGCGAATAATCAACGAACCGACGGCCGCGGCTCTGGCGTACGGCCTGGACAAGAATCTGAAAGGAGAGAGGAACGTGTTGATATTTGATTTGGGCGGTGGCACGTTTGACGTGTCAGTTCTGCAGATCGACGAGGGTTCCATATTCGAAGTGAAGTCTACGGCGGGCGACACGCATTTGGGCGGCGAAGACTTCGACAACCGGCTGGTGAGTCATTTGGCCGACGAGTTCAAGAGGAAATCCAAGAAGGACGTACGTACCAATCCGAGAGCGCTGAGACGGTTGAGAACGGCTGCCGAACGGGCTAAGAGAACGTTGTCGTCAAGCTCGGAGGCCACAATAGAGATTGACGCTCTGATGGAAGGTATCGATTTCTACACCCGAGTGTCCCGAGCTCGTTTCGAGGAGCTGTGCGCAGATCTGTTCAGATCGACTCTGCAGCCGGTGGAGAAGGCGTTGACTGACGCCAAGCTGGACAAGGGCGACATACACGACGTGGTGCTCGTGGGTGGTTCGACGAGGATTCCGAAGATCCAGAGTCTCCTTCAAAACTATTTCTGCGGAAAACCGCTCAACCTGTCCATCAACCCGGACGAAGCGGTAGCCTACGGTGCCGCGGTACAGGCGGCCATTCTGAGTGGCGACACGAGTTCTGCGATTCAAGACGTGTTGCTCGTTGACGTCACACCCCTGTCGCTAGGCATCGAGACTGCCGGCGGCGTGATGACCAAAATCGTCGATCGCAATTCCACGATTCCGTGCAAACAAACCCAAACGTTCACCACGTACGCGGACAACCAACCGGCCGTCACCATCCAGGTGTTCGAAGGGGAAAGAGCCATGACTAAGGACAACAATCTGTTGGGAACGTTCGACCTGACCGGCATACCTCCGGCTCCCAGGGGTGTACCCAAGATCGAGGTGACTTTTGACATGGACGCCAACGGAATTTTGAACGTGTCGGCCAAGGACAACAGCTCTGGGCGCTCCAAGAACATCGTCATCAAGAACGACAAGGGTCGACTGTCCCAGGCCGAAATCGATCGTATGCTCAGCGAGGCCGAACAGTACAATGAAGAGGACGAGCGACAAAAAGTCAAGATCGCTGCCAAGAACCAGTTGGAGAGCTACGTGTTTGGAGTTAAACAAGCGTTAGACGAGGCCGGCGACAAGTTGACCGAATCGGAGAGGAACACAGGCAAATGGGAGTGCGACGCGGTCGTCCAGTGGTTGGACAACAATCAGTTGGCAGACAAAGAAGAGTACGAGTACAAACTAAAGGAAATCCAAAAGAGCTGTTCGGCTCTAATGATGAAGATACACGGTGCAGGACAAGCCGGCGACGTGCCTCCCGGCGGTGCACACGGTTTCCCAGGTTCTAGAGGACCTACCGTCGAAGAAGTCGATTAATTCCTTGAACCATGTAATCTCATTAATTATTATGTTTGTAAATACCATTGTTAACTACTTCCTATATTTTTATTTCTACTCTAAGCTCTAAGTTATTCAGTAGATGTAAGCTAAGACTGATTTTGATATTGTAATATTTAGGTACCTAAGTTTTTACAAAATAAAAGTATTTATTAGCTGTATAGCCTGTATACATTTTGCCTTTTTATTTACCCCGGAAGAACCATGTACTGTTTTGATGTTAATTAAAAACGTCCAACATATATATTGGAGTAACTATAATATAGGTATTTTATTTTAGTATGTACTCAATTATTAGTTATTACATAACGTTGTTGGTACGTTCATTATGCTCACAAGTTCTGGAATTTTTTTCAAGTTTTTAGTTATAACTATACAAGTTGGTAATGCTGGAAAGTTATGAGACTTAAGATACATAAAAATATGCTTTAAAAAAATCTAAAACTTGTATATTTCTTATTATTATTATTGAATTTTAGGTGATGGAAACAGAATGAAAATCGCTGAATGAGAATTCGTTATAATTATAGAACTGATTGAATATAGGTATTATCACAGAATATATTCTGTGGTAATATACTCAAGAGGGAGGGGAGTTGAACATTTTCATTGAAAAATAATTAGAATTTTCTGTTTACAATTTTTTTTTTTATTGAAGGTGGAAAATCTTATGAGAAATATCGTTTGTATTTTAAAATTTCAGATGTAAATATGTATAATTTTTTTTACTAACAATTTTCAAATGTTCGTGATTGTGTCAAAATTCCTACTTATGTCGATCATAATAAATTATTCTGGTTTTACGCTCAACTTTGTTTTTTTAAATTTTGACTACAACTAAAGAATAATAGTAACAGTAGTAACCAAAAGTACCCATCTACTAGATTCACATTCCTACCAGAAAAATTATATACCTACATGATGGGAAGAATTTTCATATCCTTGATCAATCAGAACACCATGATTTAAATTCTGATTTTTTTTTAACCTCCGATTGTGTAAAAATTGACAGATATGAATTGTAAAAGAAAAATTTAAGTAATTTGACTTTTTTTCATCGGTTTAAGTGAATTAATTTTTAAAATTAGTATCTAGTTTCTTACCTGTCAAGTCCTTTTTAAAGAGCTACCAACCAAATATCTAGCTCTCATCATGGTTTAGGAGAAAAGTTAAAAATACGTAGAACATACCAATGGATTCCATGGACAAGTCAGTATACTATTGTAAATCTATAATACAGTAATATAAATTATAGGTATACTTAATTTACGTTTTTACTTGATGGTATACAATAAGTATTTACTATGACTGGGAAAATTAATATTTTACCCAGATTCAGCAATGGACTTTTTGCAGGTATTGACCAAACGTGAATATGAGGATCATGAATCAAGATGTATCTCTTAGTATTTATCTATAGTATAACATAATTCGAGTTGGAGACAAACCAAAAATCAGACTAAATAATATACACCCGAAGACGATACATCTGATTTAATATTTAAATAAAAATAAATATTGAACTAACACTGTCAATAATATTATATTCCAAGCTATATATTGTAGAAAATAAACAAAAAATGTTAAGAGGATAAATCGTAAGATGAATACCTAATATAATCAAAATTCGCCTTAAGGATTAAGAAAGAAATCACTTTCAAAGTATAAGATCAAAGTATTTTTACATTTCTAGTAGGTGACGACAAAAAAAAAAGCTCCAACCGCTTTAAGAAATGGGTCTTGCATTAACTTCTTAAACTAAATATAACGTTGTTAATTCTAATATTTGCATAGATACTGAATTCGGGATACTGATTTTCGATGACATAGTATACAATTAAATTAATTAAGAACCTCCTGATCACTTATTAGTTTTCAGCTTTATGTTCATTATTTGGATTTATTAGGCAACATTAATCAATACTTTACCTTTCATTATATTATGTTTCTATTTGTGGTCAATTTTAATTAAGAAAAACACATAATCTATATAACACAATTAATGCTAGTTGTTAAATTGTAACTTTGAAAAATATTAATTATGTAATATATGTATTCACATAACAATATTCATTGAATGAACCAATAAATTATTATGCAGAAGAGTTTTAAGGATAAACAAAAAACACTTAAATGGCGGTTGAAAGTTGGATTTATTTAATTGTTGTTATCAATTCATTTTTTCTATCCATTTACAAATTTACACAAATTTGTATATAACAATACATTTTTTTGACATGAAAATAGTTGGATACACAGTGAATTTTAATAATACATAATAGAGAAAATAATGTTATACACTAATTAAACGGGTAACGAGATTTATAGTTTATATAAAAATTACATATGCAGGTTAACTTATAATATTTTATTGAAAGTCTAATAGAATTTGGTCCTATTTTCAAATATAATTTTAACTGTAACAAGACTGTCGGTTTTGATTAAAATATTAATTTTTAATTCAGTAAAATAAAATTTGTTTTGAAACTAACAACCATTTTTTTAAGATTATTTTATATTTTTTTTTCGATGTAGCAGTAATATAACTCCTAATAACGCAGTAAAGCCAACATCATATTTTATTTTTTGAAAAAGAAAATCAAGTACCAAATTTTGTCAAACTATAATAAGATATTTATTTTATTTTTTAATTTAGTTTCTAAGTTTTGAAACAAAAATGGTACTTATTTATTTCATCAAGAAAAAAATAAAATGTAACGAATTTTCCCCCCATACATAATTTGACTTCAGCCCTGAAATCCCAAGTCAAATTATGAACATGAAACAAATTTTTGAAAGATTTATTTATTAGGTCAAATACATAATAGTAGTTAAAATTTTACCGTCCATAATTAAGCCAAAAAAATTAAATTGGTAAGAAAACAATCGGGCTGAAGTGAATGTTTTCATAAGCCAATACTAAGAATACAATTTTGTAGGACGGGTTCCAGCTTTTAATCATTTTGTACTGTAACTGAGATAGCTGTACTCTCAGCTCACAATTTGGATCAATTTTTAATAGCCGCACTTGCATTAGAGATCTTTTCGCTTATTCAATAGCAACAAATTTTAATGTTTTTAAATATAATAAATAATATACTCTTATGTACAATATATTGGACAACAGCGAGGGTATTTGTTTTTATCTTTAATATATACATATTTTATGCCAATGTGGCAAGAATGTAGTACTGTTCACGAAAGGCTTGATCCAAGAAGTTTAAGTCACCTAAACGAGATACAGTACTACCATGCAAGGCAACATAAATTTCTTGTGAAATGAAAATAAAAATAATACTAATAATAATAAAAAAAAAACAAGAGAAGAGATTTTAGTTATGAATTTACGAAATAAAAATAAAAATTTAAGTGAACTGCAAATAGTTTTTAGAATAAATTTTTCTTTGGATCGATTGAAAAATAAAATGTATATATCTTGGGTTCTTTGAGTCTTAAAGTTAAGTATTTAGGTATTGAGTTTGTTATAGATACAAGTATTTACAATAGTTGAGGAAGGAGGATTTTTCATTTACTAAGGTCCATTTCTTCATTAATATCTACATCTTCTGGTCGTGCAACATATAACCTTGGATCAATTACCTGCAAGATAGAAAAAAAGAATGTTATACAATAAATTTAACAAACTTTTTCCGAAAAAAATAATGTTATACTATTTTTTTTTAAAAATAATAATTATTAATACAGTAGAACCCATGCAATTGTGACACATTGGGCAGTGACCCATTTGTCCCTATTATACGACTGTGCCGAATAATAGTAACGTCCAGGATTATGCCGTTTTTTGTAATTAAATTAAAGTTTTTGTAATTAAACGGTTTCTAAATGTGAACAATTTAAAATTCAAATTTATAAAAGAATTTTATTTCAAATACACTAACATTAATGAAACAAAATAAGTAACTGAAGTAAGTGAAACAGTAGCAATTAAATAAGTATATTAATAATTATTAATTAATTACGAAAACTGCATATTTTAGCAGCAAATCTTGGCAACAAAAGCAATTCGCAACATTTCACTCACAATTATTATTGATGAAAGTGCCTCTACATCTCCATATTTTGGTTATTTTACATTTGACAAATTAATTAATGCATAATCTTGGAATAAGTTTGAAAACAGATAAAGATTTTTAAATTTTATTCATTTTGGATTAACTTTACAGAGAACAGTATTTAGAATGACCAAAATTGGACATTGACCCTCAATGGATTAATTATGAACGAAAATTAAACAGTGGCTAGATTATTAATTCTATAAACTTGTACAAAATAAATATAAGATATGTTGGTAACTTTCATAATTCTATTCATTTTAAATGAGCTCCTAAATTATTATTACTTTATGTTTTAGTGATAGTATTCCTTTATTAACAAGAAGTTTCAGTGCAAATAACTTACTTTAGGTATGGGTTTTATTTCTGTGCCTAATTCTTGTTCAATGCGATGTAAAGCAAACCGGTCATCATAAGTGATAAGATTGATGGCTATTCCAAGATGTCCAAATCGGCCTGACCTACCAATACGATGCAAATACGTCTCTGCCATTTTGGGAAAATCAAAGTTTATCACAACATTTACAGCTTGTACATCAATACCTCTCGTAAATAAATCTGTAAAAAAATATATGTGTCAAAAGAATTACAATGAACACAACACTATATTTAACTAAATTACCAGAACAAACAAGATTGCGACAAGATCCTTTTCTAAAATCATGGAATACACGATTACGATGTGCTTGGGCCATTTTAGCATGAATGTAATAACAACAATAGCCGAGATCAGTTATTTTTTTAGCAAGTAATTCTACACGCTGTGTTGAATTACAAAATATTATACTTTGGTTTATTTGAAGCTAAAATAAAGAAGAATATAAGACGTAAATATTTCACTAAGAAAAAGATTGATTATCGTTCTAATAAAATACCTTTGAGAACAAAGTGTTCAAACAGTGAACCTTTTGTTTTTCTTGAACAAATGCATAATACTGAGTAACTCCTTTCAAGGTTAGCTCTTCCATTAAGTTTATTTCATATGGACTACGTAAGTGTTTATCCTAAGACATAAAAATACACAATGATTAATACATTATAGACTAGTAATTTCATTGATTTCGATGATGTACGTACCATAAACTGTTTGACAGTCAGA